AAAATGGAAATGGTCATTGCTAACTGGAACAAGGGGAGGAGCCGTTTTTGGGCTTTAGAGTTTAGGGTTTATGCGCCCTAAACCCCAAACCCCTAAACCTTAAAACCCTAGAACCCTAGAACCCGAAAACCCTAAAACCCTAAAGGGCTAACACCCCAACCCAAACCCTAAGGCCTAAACACCAAACCCAAAACCCGGCTTCGACGGCCTCTTTCACGAGGCCCTGGTCCTTCAGTCGGGCTCCAATCTGCTCCAAGGCCTCGCCAAGTTCGAGTTGCAAACAGAGAGGCACAGTATAGCTGTATTATCTTGTAGTCTTTGAGAGTATCTTACAGTATATGATAGCATGTGATAGCTCATACTATATAATGGCTTCAGGATTCTTGCAGCCTCCTCGTCGCTCAGCCGCCGCACATGATGGCCGTTCACCCACTTGAACTTGTCCGTGTCAAAGATGGCTGCTACCTCTTCCGCAAAAAAGCCACAAGTCATGACTTCTGTCCTTTCCCCTGTTCTCTAAACCCTAAACCCCAACCCCTAACCCCCAAACCCTAAACCGAAAACCTAAACCCCAAACCCTAAACCCTTCTTCCAGATCTGGGCCCCTTCAGAAGGCCTTGCTCATGCGCTCCATCTTGAAGGCCTCGAGCAACTCGTCGATGGTGTAGATCTCCTGAAGAAAATCACAGAGAAACGCGGAGAAAGTCTATTATCTTTGTTACAATTACTGTTATTAGTATTAGTGTTAGCATTAGTCTTACTATTAATATCAGTATTAGTATTAGTATTAGTATTAGTATTAGTATTTGTATTAGTATTATTCTTAGTATTAGTATTATTAACAGTCGGCCCCTCTACTCTCCGAGCAAGCCTGCTTGGTCCCGTCGTTCCATCCCAGCTGAGCCAGATAATTCACCTTGCACTTGTCGTCAGTCAGAAGAAAACAACGACACCGTGAACTCTTGACAAACTGTGCCTCTGCGAAGAACATGCTTTAACGCTTCCATGTCCCACTGTGTTTAAGAGGAAGCCGAGCGTTCGCTTCGACGTTCGCACCATTTCCGTGCAAGTCTTCTTAAGCCCGAATCTTGCAAAGCCTCTGCCGACCAATTTCCAGCGCCATCGTAACTAACGAGCATCGAAAGCACGAAACAATCTCAGATCCTGCCGCCACATAGACAGCCCTGAGGCATTCGGTTTGGCTGTTGTCTTTCCCCACTAGCATATAAACTGCATTTCTTTCGTAGACTTCGCAAAAACGCTAGACCATCTCGAATGGTCGCCCTAGTCTTAGTCTGCCGAAGACGATCATCTGCCCAGCACTCCTCATCATCGAAAGATGATGGTAAGGCATCGGAGTCACGACTGACCGAAGTCGCGCAACTCGCAGCACGGTATGGGAAGCAGGATAATCAAGAACAATATCATGCTACAAGAATCAAAACACAAAAGACAAAGCGAAGTGGCACAACAAGCGGAATTTGGCAGCTGTTGGTGGCTTCGCTGATTCAAGATCCCACCCTGAGGGGAGGCTCGAGCTTGCGAGGGCTAAGCACGGGCAAGAATCGAAGTCGGAGCAACTAAGGCGCTGGCAAGGCCAGAAGGTAGGTATCCTCGCTTCTGATACCTAATAAACGCGCATCCCCACAAATAGGACATGCGAAAGACAAGAGGTTCCACTGGAAAGGTCATTTAGGCTCGGGCTCGCCGACTGAAACTGCGCCGTGTCGCTTCGACAGCTTGGTGCGGTCCTGCTCAGGGACTTGGGAGCCGTCATTTTCCGGAGAGATCCGAAGCCCAGACAAAAAGACGGAATCAACTTCACGACTGCAATGAAGTGCGCAAGCATGTATGACGTATGTGTAAGATGTCCGGCGCCAGGATCAATGGCATGTGACCAAAGGTGGGCACCTGCGATCGCTCACACTGCATGCACTGCCGACTCCACGCTCAAGCTCGTCTCCAGAGCCACCTTGAGGCCCAGAGCTTCGTACATCAAAATCTGCCGTGGCGTGTTCATCAGGTGCTCCTCGCAGGCGGCTGCACACCCGAGCCGCCGTTTGGAGCATGGCCAAGCTTAGTCGTCCTGGGCTCTCAACACGTGGGTGATGCCCATGGAAGCATCGTCGGTGACGACGCCAAAATTGTACATGGGCATTCCTTGGCACGATGGGGCTGAGGCCACCAGGCGCTCATTCAATCGTGCTTGGGGCAAGGGCCGTTCTGACGGACAATGACGAAGTCGCCGCCGAGATCGTCAGAGTTCCAGATGACCTTAGCATCGGACTCTCGGCAGAGCTGCTTCCCAGTGCTTTGGGCTAAGCCGTTCTGGCGCTCCCGGCCTCACCAAGCACCAGATCATCTACCACGATTTCCCTGCGGTGATGGGCTGCGCACGGCTGCGCGGGAGGGCTTTTAAAGCTTCCACGGGCCTGTCAAAAGGGACTCGGAATCTGTACACGTAGGGTTTGCCCTTGTCGATCATGGCCTAGAAAGAGTCGCAACTGCAACTGCACAAGACAACATCTCAGCTGGATGAGCGGGCAAGGAGTCGCCGCCTGCACTTCCTCTTCGGACGCATTTGCCCACGGGCTCTGCACCACGAAGGCCTGCAGGCAAAGCACATTTCGGCAGCCCAGTTCCAAGATGCTCCAAGCTTCGAACCTGCTCGTTTCTTTCAGCTTCGGCTCGCATCTCATCAAGCTCCTCGTGCACTCGTGCACGAAGAGGTGCTCACGAGATCGTCACATCGAGACATGCAAGCGGCCTCTGGCGTCAGGAAACATCTGTAGGCATGACCTTCTGCCATGAGCTTTTCCAGCTGCTTCTCGTAGATGCCAGCCTAGACTCTCGAGGCTCGAGACCCGAAGCTTTGGGAATCTACGTTGCACGAACATCTCATGACGCCTTGCCTTAATGCGCTCGGATTGCCGATATGGCCCGTGCTCGCCACCCACATCCGGGCCCTCATCCCAGGAGATGCCGCACCATTTCAGGCCCTGCGGTCCCGGGCTTGAAGCAGTCAGGTCACAGATGGTCACAGGAAGTCTGAGGCCGAGTGCCTCCAAAATCGCATCTTCGGACTCCTTCGTCGATCTGGCGACATCCGTGTCCTCAAGGACAAAAGCCAGAGCTCGAAAAGGTCCCATCAGCAAAACGGCCCCTTGTAACAAAAACACTTCTTTGGCAAGTCTCACCCTTTTAGCTTTTGGGAGGGAGACCCGGAGTCGGGCTCGGCCTCAACTCGGAGGATCAGCTCGCCGCCTTGGGACTTGGCAAAGAGCCAGTTGAAGAGAGCCGTCCGAGCTCCGCCAACGTGCAACCTGCGCACGTCAGGCTTTAGACACGCTTAGGCATTAGGGCTTCTGAATCTCTCGCCCTGTGAAAGCTGCGCTGCTCTTTTGACGCTCGGTCACATGGTCTCGCGACTTGGTCGTGGACCAGGGAACGCTTACGGTGCAGAGTTGAAAAGGTTGCTCGTCGAGAGCACCAGCTCTGCTCGAATGATCAGATTCGCATCTTGCAAACCCGGCCCATCGCACACCATGCCTCCTCGGATGATTGTACGAGTAGAGAGTAGAGTGCCGCCATAGTTTAGTACTCTACGTCGGAACCTACCTGAAAAAGGGCGGTCAGCATCAATCGGGAAACGCACCTGGAAATCTGGACTTCTGACGATGTCTAGCTCCGACGGAAGACTAACTCACCTTGTCGGCGCCGTCAACCTGGCGGGCAAGAAGAAGTCATCGTTAAGCAGCGGTTGCAGAGCAGCGACACTTGGCAGCAATCCTCACATCCCTCTTTTTTTTTTGCAAGCGCAGGGCCCAAGGTAGGTCCCGTCTGCTCCGACCGTTCAGGAACGCTGCGGGGGTTTACGGCTTGGCTTATTTACAACAGAAACCCACGATGCTCTATTTCTGGCAACTACAGAGACTTGGCGATAAAGAGGAGTGTTATCCATCCACACCAGAGAGCTCGAGGCATGTGCTTGCCGTATATCTGCGGCTTTCGGAATGGCATAAAATTCATGGTCAATCAATGAATGAGGAGGGGGTCGATCTGAGCGCAGAAAATTAATGCGCCGGGAGGCTTCTACCAGGCAAGACTCCGCCCAGTGGGGTTTGGGGCGCCCTACTCTATTGGCTCCTTGAGTGTGCCTATATGCAGCAGAGGGCATAAACGTAGCCTGCGTTTCCAACGGTTCTGGATGACGATATAAGTGACCAAGTAGATTAAGGCGGTTCTGAGAATATAGTTGAGAACAAGGTACCGAAGAAGGATTGATAACTCGATGGTAGTATGAGGACTTGAGTTTAAAAATTCGCCTAAGGCATTTATAGTGGACCGAGTCCATCTTCGTGAGTTGTGCTGGCGTAAGCAATAAGCTGTCCATGGCGTACATGAGAATTGACTGCACAACTGATCTATATACCAGCAATTTCCAATTGGGAGGGAGGAGCCCGTGTTTCATCAAAGCAGCAAGTTTCTTAGAAGCCTCCATCACTCTGGAAACTCTGGTGGAGACGTTTTTGTGGTTGTTTGATTTGGGGTCAAGATACACACCCAAATATTTGACCGCGTCCGACACCGGGACACGAAGATCCTCCACCTGTGTGGGTAAGTATTGCGGATCATAATAAACTCTCTGAGAGGAGTTCAATGCTAGGTGTTCACACTTATCGAAATTGAGAACCAGGCCTCGTCGGGCCCCCTCTTTTTGAATGAGGTGTAAAAATATTTGCGCTTGAGCAAAGGAATTAGACAATAGAACCGTATCATCCGCGTATTCGAGGTCCCAAAGAAAAGTACCCAATCTGAGAACCCCTGAGATGACACCGTGCTCCACAATATACTGCGATTCTGCGCTTTCAAAAAGATGTGTGAGCACAAAACCAACAGGTAGGGAGAGAGGGGACAACCCTGTCTGAGACCTCTGGTCTGTGTATGAACCTCATAGCAATATTTGCTCTCCCTTACTTTGAAGGTAGGGTTTTGATACAGAGAAGCGATCGCTTCTCTGACAAGAGGGGGGACACCCATGTATTCAAGGGAAGATTGTATGGAGGAGAAAGTCACTGAGTCAAAGGCTTTCGCCCAGTCCAAGAAGATAGCGTGGAACCCCTCAGTTTGGCGTTCGTGTACCTCCAAAAGGCGGCGAAGTATATGGATGGGTTGTGTTACCGAACGGCCTGACCTAAAGCCAAATTGCGTGGGGCGAAGGCGGTGATCGAAGTGGGCTGCCAATCTTTTTTGAAGGAGAGAAGCATATATTTTATACATGGTGTTAGTACGAGAAATAGGTCGATAGTTAGAAAGGAGCTTTGTATCTTTTTGGTAATTCTTAACCAGCATGACCACTTCTGAGTGTAGCCATGAAGAGGGAGCCCGGCCTTGCTGGAAGCAATGATTATAATGGTCAAGAAGATACAGACGAAAAACATAGGGAGCGTTTTGTAAGAGCTCAGCGGGAATTGCATCGGGCCCTGCGGCCTTACGTTTGCTAAGGGCTCTCAATACTATATTCAATTCTTCCATTGTAAAAGGACGAGCGGAGGCTGATAGTTCTTCCAAAGGCGGAAAGAAAGGCTTGGATTCATCGTCTGGGGCTTTCCACACCTGATTCGCCAGGTAATCCCTTAATCCGCAAAGGTTTCGGCCTGCGCCGCTTTAGATACCAGCTTACCCTTGGTGTCAATGAGGTTAGTAGGATTGGGGCGAAAATCCTTGCGCAGTGTGCGCGCCGTGCGCCATTGTTGTATAGCAGAGCCGTGGAAGTCATCCTGGAGGTGAGTCATGATAAACTGCTTTTTATCCTTTCGGGCAAGTTTTTAATCTTACTGCGATACTGCTTAACTTCTTCAACCGTGAGGTCTGTACGGTTCTGAAAAGAGGTAATATATTCCAAGGTGGAAGGAGAGATCCAGGGCTTCTTTGCCGAAACAGGGAGCGTGGGGATGAGAGGTATGTGTTTGCGAATCATCTCCAATAAACGGAGGCTTTGTTCAGTCGGTGTTATACCCTATGTCCGGGGGAGAAAGCGCGGCTGTGCGGGGGCCTGAAAATCGACCCAAGGAGCCGTACTCAGTGACGCCTTTTTTGGCAAGAGAATCGGCTAATTCATTGCCGATGACGCCGGAGTGTCCCGCTACCTTAGAAAGTGTGACATAATGAATTGTGCGAAGAGCAGTATAATACTGCTGCGCCAGTGTAACTAATTGATGATGCGTGGTAGGGAGCGAATCGCCCAGAATAAGGCGCACGGCGTACTCCGAGTCTGTGTAGATGGTAATATCGGAGCGGGATGGGAGATTGGCATAATAAAGGAGGTAATCAAACAGCTCAATGAGCGCCTTCAATTCTCCAGTGTTATTGGAGCCCCAGACTTCAGGGAGGACGTTAACGTCCGCGGGCGTGGTTTTGACCGGGCGGTAAGAGACCTCCCAGCAGGTATCCTGTGTTGGCTCGGTTTGAGAGTCCGAGCTCATGGCTGCGAAACCCCAGCCTGCGGGGTTATCAGGTGAGACGATCTTGTTATTGGGGCAGGAGCCATCTGTGTAGGCAACCACAAAAAAGGAGGGAGGTAGATCAAGCGAAGGGGGGTCGGGCAATTGATTCTTCGCGAGAGAAAGGAGATCCATTTCTATAGCTTGATAAAAAGACTTGGTGCGCGAGTAGTCTAATTCAGGCTCTGCTACGGGAGAAGAGCGCTCCGGATATTGACAAGAGAGCACACCATAAGAAGGAAGATGGCGAGTATTAACCATCTGTTGAAAAATAGAACCTGAAAACGAAAAGTTTCAGAAAGAACAGTCGTAATGATAAAGTGATCCAGGGCCGCCCAATTATCGGTGTCAGGGTGCTCTAAGGAGTGGTCAGTGCACGTCATTTCTTTATAAGTAACCAGTTGTCTCGGAGGAAGCTGGCTTTGAGAAGGTGCATGTATGAAGGAATAAGTATTGAGAAACTCCTGGAGGTATTCGGCGTTATCCCTATCGGCATCCTGGAGTGCCTGTCGTTGGCCCCATACGTTGGGGCCGAGGCCAGGGATGTCTCGGGCCATTTCCTGAGACAGGCGTGCGTTAAAGTCACCCAAAACTATGAGATGATCCGCGTTTGAATGCGAGGAAATGAAGGTGTCAAGGGTGTCCCAAAAATCTTGTTTGCGCGCTAAATCCTCCTCGGCATTCTCAACTTGACTAGGGGCGTAAATGCAAAAAACTGTAATAGGATGGGGTATGATACGAATGGTGACCTCGCAGATCCGCGGGGTATGTGCCAGGAAATCGGTGATGAATGGACGTAGAAAAGGGGAGACCATAAAGCCTACGCCATGGTGTTTGCCCTCTGGCGTGCTGGAGTGGAGAATTTCCCATCCAGATTTACAGAAACTGTGGCTTGAGTCGGCCTTAGTTTCTTGAATAGCTAAAAGGTGAAAATTATGTTGTTTAGCGAAAAGGAGAATCTGATCATACTTGGCCACTTCTTTGAGTCCTTCTACGTTCCATGTTGCTACTCGTACTGCTGTGTGGGGTTTAAGGGAAACTGGACTAGAATGCTGATGGTATCGCCAATTAGATGGCGTGGATTGGGTCTTCTTTACCAAGGAGCGAAGTCTTTCTAATTTGGTCGGACTTGGACCTTGGACTAGATGGGGGTACAGGGATGGATCCACCGTGAGTCCACAGGGTGGTCCCTTTAAGGGCGGATTTCCATGCTCTATAATCTCGCCTTCTGGACCTTTTGTTGTGAGTCCACTTCTGAAAGCGGCGATCTTTAGCTTGAGACGATCTCTGACCTCTCGAGGTTCCCCCGATGGTGTCACGGTTTTGGTAGCCGCGTGGCTTAGGGTTTAAGGAAGGGGTGGGGTCATCTGGTCGGTTATCATTACGAGCCTTCTGGCTCCGAGCCGTAGCCCTGTCGGTTCCACTGGTAAATGCTTCCACTGGTAAATCTGACCATTGGTAAGTGTCGTCGCGTCAGAAGGAGAGACCTCTGACGCTGTGAGATCCGTAGCCGGATTCCAATAGTGATCCGGAGTTTCCTTCTCGTCGTCCGCCTTGGCAAGTGCGGGACGGGACTGTAACCGAACCCCTAAGCTTCGCCAGAGTCTTTTGCTATCGAGTTGTTGCGGCCAGCCGCTTCCCGGCTCGCCCCCCGCGGAGGCAACCGCTCTAGTTAGCAGCCCAAATAACTTTGGTGCACTCAATCTCTTTGGTGATTCCTCTACGATGAAATTTCATCCATGCACATTTGCCTCTGATAGAATAGGAGAGAACAATCATGCCACTAGGTAGTGTAAAGGAGCGAGACCATACTCTACGGGAGGACGGGGTACGCACCTCGTACTCTGTAATGTTGCCATTTAGAGCATGTTGCAACCTATTACGAACCTTAGCCGTAAAACCCCTGGCGCGCTCCTTCATTTGGTCGGACGCATGACGGTTGGTCCTGAGGCCTTGCACGGTGGAAAAAATCGAGGCAACGCTGTTGGTGCTACTATGGCTAATATAGCCCCTGGCGTTCCCCGTGCACGGCAACGCGAAATCGAAATCGGCTGGACACTCGGACTTTGTACACGCTGAGAACTGTAAACCTACAGCGGTTGTGGTCAAAACTGCGCAGTGACGCGCTACGTCGGCGGCGTCCTGCTGGGACGGCCGCTGTTGTGGAGAGTCTTGGTGAAAAAGGCTTCGACGCTATGTACAGTGAAAATCTTCCAGTGGTAAATCTGACCAATGGTGAATGGATACCATTGGTAAGTCTTTGGCAGCTTGAGCTGTGCGTTTCTTTTCCTTTGACAAAGGAGAAAATATTCCAAAAGGCGATACCAATCTGCAAGCGATAGTGACACAAAAAGGGCCGTAAAGGCCAGCTGTATCGTGGCTAGCGATAGCCACCTGGGTCAGGCACAAAGGTAATCTTCTATCCAGGGGAGCCTTTGTTTCCCAAACTGCAAAGTCATGATGATGTATCCTACCGACCAAACAAGGTCGCGTGCACCAGTTTCAGCGACCAACAACATGAGGGACTCAAGGCTGTTTCCTTTATTGTTCCAATGCCGGGAAAGGAGATGGGGTTTTTCATCAACGAGAGGGTGGTTACGCGGGAGACAATCTACCTTTGCATCGTAGAATTGCGCAAACTGATCGTTCGGGGCAGGGAGATCCTGTTTCTTAGTAGTTTGACACTTAAAGAGAGCAGTAATCTGATGATAGACTAGGTCAAAGTACCATGAGCCTGAACTAGCAGCCAACTGCTTGAGGGTCTCATTGGTCCAAGCGGCATGGCCTGCAAACACGGTCCACAAATCTTCCTCCCTAAAGATAATGTAGCTGAGCTGATCTACTGCTTGCTCAAAAAGATAGGCGTGCTGGTCCGAAAAAAGAGTGTGACACAGCTGCTTAAGACAACTGGTATCCCACTTCTTGGGGATGCTGTGTCTCTCCATCGCTAACGAATACGACTGTCGAATGAGTTCCCTCCAAGGAATAAGTTCTTGAACAACAAGAGAAGCGTCATCCCAGCCCATATCGGCAAAACCTGGAACTACTGAAGGAGAGGGGAGGTCAAAACAGTAGAGCATCTCCTGAACTGCCGGCCCCAAGGCCGCCTCGAAGAGCATCATCACACGACTGTAGCTATGGGGGTTGGCATTACGAATTGATCTGTTGAGCTGTTTCCATTCTGGCCATTTGTTGCTGAGGTAGGAGGCTTTGTGAGGCCGATAGGTTGGGTCCACATAGGGCCTTGGGAGCTTGGTTAGGTTGTCTTCCGGGAAAGCTACTGCGTAGAACCAATTTTGAATAGGCGTGGACTGTTTGTCATGAATATCCTCATACGTGAGATCACACAGTGCTTGCTGGAGTTTCGCTGTAGTGTCATCGAGGTACTCTATGATCGAACGCTCGTAGCCCACAATAAGAGTGTGATAGTAGGGATTGATAGCTTCGGCATCATCACCACCGTAAAAGCGAATATAGTACAAACGGAGCGCTTTACAAGCTGCACAATTGCCAGTACCAAAGTGGGCAGGAGAATGTGACACAAGTCGGAGTCATCATTAACTGGAAAAGGACACGGGACACTCGGGAGCTTAGGGAAGCGGGACCTAGCAAGGTCGGGGAGCAACTGCGACTTCCAGTGCTTATCGTAGTGATATTGGTACTTGTGATTGCAAACATTACAGGCGGAGTTGGTACCTGCTAGAGCCATACACTCCTCACAGGGAAAAAGGAGGTTGGGATCATCCAAGCCTCGGCCACGCTGGCGCGTGTGGCGCCCATCTTGCTGGCGGTCATCTTCTCGGCGACGGCGCGTGGAGTCCTGAGCCGGGTCGTAGTCCTCGAAGTCGCGCGGCTTCCACCACTTCTCAGGGCGTTCCTTTGGACCTCCGTAATCTACCCTATTCTTTGCAGGGCGATGATAATCATCCCAATTTTGGCGAGAGCCTTTTCCTGTCTCCCTAGAGGAGCTGGGCCACTCGCGATAATGGGAGCCTCTGTGCCAGGAACCTTTGTTGCCTCTGGGCTGCATATCATCATCCGTATCCTCTTGCTCCCCTTCCTGGCTGCGGTACATATCAGACTGGTAGCCTTTACTGCGGTCGGGGCGTTTTCCTTTACCTTTGCCTTTGTTGCGAGTGGAGCCTTTGCCTTTTCTACCGTAATCATCTAGGTTGATACCTAGGTCAGCGACTGTCTGCTGAATCTGAGTTTGCATCCCTAAAAAGCCCTGGAGTATAAAGTTCGGGTTTTTGGAGAGTTGCGTAGAAAGTTCATCCGACATCTCTATGGGATAGATAGGGTAGGGAAAGGAGCGGATTGCATCGTCCCTGCTGAGGTTGGAGGCATCTTTGGTTTGTGAAATGATAAACGTAGGGCTGTTGTTGCGTGTCGGCTAGCAGAAGCGTATGCCTGCATGAACTGTATAGTACTGAAAAGCTTATCCCCAAAGAACCGGGGAAAGTGAGTGCTGACAACATCAAAAAACCGCGGAATCACCAAAAGGTAACATGCGTAGCTGAGGTGCTTGTCGGGTAGATAGAGCACCTGAGCGAGGAGGCTTTCTTCTGCGTTGTCCCAAATCTGAAGTGAGTTAAAATCGCAGCGTAGATATTCATCTAGTGCTGGTGGCTGGGGCTTGGTGAGGGAATCCATCACTGCATACAAAGGAGTACGCTCAAGTCGTTCCAGCATAGGCACGTCCCTTTCTATGCGCATTGGTACATCAGCTTGCTCGTTTGAGTGATACCATCGTTTCTTTTGCTTGAAGGCCTGAAAGAAGTGTTTTGAGGTAGACTCCTGTAGAAAAGTAATCTTCAGAAAGGCATTGGTGGAGGTGTTCACATGGTTCGATGTAGTCTGAATATCGCTCTCCGATAACTGAGCCTGCTGCAATAGGTAATACAGATAATGGTCAATCTGCGACTTAGTGGTAAAAGGCGGCAAACCATGGATCAAAACGGTGCGGCGAATGGCATCGGCTTCCAAACTCTGAAGCGCAAGACCCTCATAGCGAATCAAAGAGCCCTGCTTATCCAAACGCGAGACCACTTCCTGCCTAATGTGGTTGGACAAAAGGTCCAAGGAGGGCTGCACGGTTTGTTCATGGTACTGTGCAAGTACCGTGCTGAGGTTTTCCATCGTAACCTGAGGCGGCGGGGTTTCTACGCTGGGAGAGGGGAGTTCAATATTGGTAGTGGGCGTAAAGGAGTTTGTGGCTGGGTCGAAGCGAGCTACCTTCTTCGGGCTGCGAACAGTATTGTAGGCCTTAAGCAGGTCAGGGGAGCTTCGCAGAGCTTGGCGAAAGTTTGGGTCCATATCTCCGCATTCTATAGGATCTGTATCCGTTTCCGGAGCGCTGCCTCTGCCGGTGCTGGCCAAGCCAGTGATACCTGACATGGCAGAGGGGGCGGCGACACTTGCTTGCGTTCGAAGAGTCTGCAACAGAGCTTCAAAGATGGCTGAAGAGATTGTCTCTGGCTCCTTGCCCGGCTGCCTAAGGTGAATAGTACCATTGGTAAATTTGACCACTCGTGAATCTTCGCTCAGCTGAATCAGCTGGCTAATCTCCGGAGTGGAGTCCTTAGGCTCTTCTTTCGTTAGCTGCAGAGCCGGAGGCGGCGCTTTCGCCGGTATCACCGGTACACCTGGCGGCGGAGCGACCGCAGGGGAGGGAGTATCCTCCGTCGGCAGCGCGTCCGCTGGCGGCTGCTGGCTTGTGTCGAGCTGCGAAGCCATGGCTTTTTGCGATTCGTCCATTGTCCGAGTGTTTCACCGAAAAGAAAGTACGTGGAAAACTGCACCAAAGAACATAGGCACAAGTAGATGCACAAGCAAAACCTCCACCGAAGAGGGGGCTGCTAAGCTTCACCTTGAGCCTCTCACATCCCTCTACAATTACTAACCCTGTGTTGTACCCAACTGTCACCCGTCGGGGACCTTGTCCCGAACTGCTGCGCCTGTAACTCGAGAAGTGCCGCCTGGAGGACACGGGAATGGCAGATAGCGAGCTTCTCTCACAGCCGCACGGCCCATCGCCCTTAAGGGAACGAAGGAGAGGAGAATCTCAGCGATCCCAAACCCCCTGCCCAGTCCTCCGTGGCGTGGCCGTGAAGCATCAGAAACTGCACAAGGCCTCAGAGGTTCGAACGGGACTCTCTCCGATGCCTCTAGACCCTCAGATTCCTGGAGTGCTGGGGACAGATTCGGCTCCCCTCCCCAACGACTCTTTGGATCACCGAGGCCGCTGCTTTGCGCCGCGGCGGCAGTTTCGGGATGCTTCCAGCCTCGGCGGGGAAAGCCGGAGCTTCAGCAAACCCAGGCTCTGGGCTGCCATGGCTGCCCAGGCCTAGCTTGCGCTTGCAGGCTTGGAAAGCCCTCCGGTGATGCTGCTCCGCCTTGCCAAGCTCAGTCTAAGATCTCTAGGACATGTTGGCTCCACATCCCCCAAGGGCCTCGGCCAGCTTGCCCTGCTCCGCGAGGCCTTGGCTCGTGTCCAAATTGAAGCGCCCCCCTGTCGTCTCTTCTCTCGGGGACGGGCAACCGGCCAAGTTGCTCAGCGCCTGGATGGGTCGAGGGTGCCTCAGACTTGCAACACAAAGGGAAAAAAGGCTGCCCCGTGGCCCGTGACCACACACGCTGTGAAGCCGGCGAGGGTGGGAGCGCCACCTCCATGCCCGCCAGGGTCCGGCCTCAGGTCGTGCGCAGTAACACGCCTCACTCCCAGTGGAAGGGAAGGCCGCGGCGCAACAGCTGCTCTGCTTCCTTTAGCTTGCCCTGGTCCTGCAAGACAGGAGCAGGAACCAGGGCATGCAAAACTGTCAATTTGACACGGCTGGAGTCCCCAAGGCACAAAGCGAGGTTGTTCAGGCAGTGCAAGGTGTCCGGATGATGATGCCTCTGCTTGCCGGCTGCAGCCACAGCACACTTCCGGAGATCCGTCTACGGTACACCACGGGAGCCGCACCCGAGCGTTCTTCGCAACACGCCCAGGGCCTTCAGCGGTAAACTTTGCGACACGGTGTGGCCGAATGCAACCTCATCTCACGCCTGTCGGTGAAAGAGCTCGCTGACATGCAAGTCCTCCTCCTTCTCCGCACCTTTCTGAAAGCGCACCCTTCCTGATCTTAGGGTCATTCGAAGCCTCGGGCCGATGCTCACAGCCTTGCTGAAGATCGTAGCAAGCGCATGTGCTGAAGCGCCCTGCCGTCGAACAGCTTTGCATGAAGCCGAACCTAAAGCAGAGGCGGGCCTCCATGCGAAGAAGCGCATCTCCGGCTGAAGGCAGAAGGCCGTGCTTCTTTGCCAGCCCTGCGACAAGGACAGTGGACTGTGGACTGTGGCCCCTCCTGCAGCTACTAATGGCCACACGCCTTGCACGTAGCGGCAGGTCATCAACGCCAGCCGAGCCGACGCTGCATCCGGACAGGACCGGCCCAGGGCCCTCTCCTCTGAGTTTCATGATGCTTCATGGTCACTACTTCCAACTCCTCTCCAAACCTCACAAACACGAGGACACATCGAGGATCCGGCAAAGGAGGCCAGGGCCCTGCTGTGAAGAGGCTCGGCCTCCTCCGCACGGCCCAGGTCCTGAAGCAGTGCAACGTGGACCGAGTTTTGGAGGCCCTGAGCCACGGACGTCGAGGCAGGAAGCCAGCGCCGATGCGGAGTGTGCAATCTGCACAACAGCCGAAGACTCGCACTCCCGGCAACACTGCTTACTGCTTGACACACGGCCTGCAGGGTGTCCTTGCAGTCCTTGCCTGCCTCGGTCGCCGCATCGCTGAACTTTTCCGCAGGTGCCGGGAACAACACTGAGTCAGCCTCGTCGCACTGGATGGCCTGTTGCCACAGCTTCGCAGCTTCCTGGCAAAGAGGAGGTTGCGGCGTCGAATCCTTGTGACAACCGAACCCACAAAGACACTGCCGCCTCCGTTCTGCCGATGGACGACAAGAAGTGTCCCAAACATCGTACCTGCCGTTTCGGCAAGGCGGAGAGCACTGCGACGAGAAATTGAGGCGGGGGAAGGCGCTGCTCGTCCCTCGCCGTCACTGTTGTGAAGCTCTCTTTCCAGTCTGCATTCGATCGCTTGGAATACGAAGCCTTGGGAGCGCCACGAACACTGCACGACGAGTGGTGCCGTTCCCGCTTGCCTGCTCCCTCCTCCACATCTGTCAGCGAAACGAAAAAAGCATCCAGAAAGTCCTTGGTCGAAAGGGCTGTTGTGGAATGCCGGATCGAGCAGAATACTTCTTCCAGGTGGCGCCATCGAAGTCTCTACCTGCTAAGCATTCTCGAGTGCCTCAGTTCAGCACGTCTTCAAAAGATCTAAATGCAAAGGCCACTTGAGCGCAAAGCATGCACTGCAGCTCTGCGCATCGACGACGATGGCCACATAGCACTTGCTGTCAGACCTAATGACGGTGCGGCGACATAAGAACATGGTGAGTGTCGCTACACAATCCGTCCGGGCACGAGGCTCGCTTCCCCCTGTCTCACCAATGCTCGCAGTGCTCCGCGGCCCGTGTCGTAGGGCAAGGAAGCCGCCATGGACGCCTTGACAGAACAGGTAAGCCTGCACAGACACGGTGCAAAGGCTTCGGCTCATGGCGGCCTGCATCCCTTGGACTCATGCCATCATCCGATCCAGAGATGAATTCGTAGAGAAGCTCCGCACAGCCCAAGAGACCTGCCAGCTGCAAAGCCGCGCAGAAAGCAAAGCAAAGCAGAGTTTGAAGCTTCATTGGGCGGACTCCAGGCCTTGACCAAACCGGCGAACGGTGGATAGAGGCCCACGCCGGAACAGCAGCTGGAGATCCTCCATGCACTGACCCCAAGAACAGGCTGAAGCAACACGAAGCACACTGCCCTTGCAGTGTCCTGTGAAGCAGCAGGCGGACAAAGGAAAACCGCGTGCCCCAGCAGCAATGCACCGGTGAAGCTATGGCCTTGTGCACTGCATAACCCCAGGCTGCAACGCGACAGCGCCAGATTTGGAATGGGACTCGTGCGGAAGATGGGAAGGCCATCCCCGCGGTAGCCAACACCATCGTCTACCAAAGTGAATTGAGGACCTCTGCTTGCCAGGGCACCTTGTCACCTTGCCTCCTACTTGTAGGACCGTAAGGCACGAGGGCTGGCGAAAACAGCATCCCCGACATGTCTGCTCAGCTGCAGGCAACAAGCCGCAAGGTCCTTTCCGTCCAAATATGAGCCACCTGAGAAGCCAGAAACTTAATATTAAAGACCTAGAGAGCCTCTGCGTGCTAACTTGTCACGGGGCTCCTCTCTCGCGCAGGCTTCAGAGCAACAGGTGCCGGGCCGATAAAGAAGCTGCGCAGTTGGCCGTCGTCGGCGGCCAGGTAAGTGGAATTTGTGGGAGAAGCACCTCCAAAAAGCGCATGGCGGCAGAGGCATCTCGGCACCCCCCATAATTTTCACAGCAACGCACAAGTACTTATGATTATGATCTAACACTATACCATATAGACCGGAAAACTACGCTCTCACGCACTCTAAGCAAGGCACATGTGGACGGATCCGCACACTGCAGCTGCGGTGCCTGGCTGCACCCGTGGCCCCGAGTCCGAGCGCGGAGATCACCCGAGCCTGTCCCGGCTCCAGGACGAGAGCTCCACTCGCCGAGCGCTCGTTCACCTGGGCAGGCCTTCGTCAGTTCAGTGGATCCCCAATCCCACCCCCTTGCACCGAGACCCCGACGTGATGTCGGCCAGAGGAGCGATCAGGGCCGCATCAAGCCTGTGGAAATAACGCGGCAGTGAAGCAAGGCACAGTGAATTCCAAGTGCAATCCAGGATTCGATGAGAGATCCGGATCACCAGAGCACTTCTTCGATTCCGTGGTATACTTCTGCCGTGCCGCGGCTTCCGCAGCTCGCGCAGTCGCACCCCAGCCCAGTGTGTTGGCATTCATCGCAGCTCCCGCGTAGATTGCTGCGGTTGCTAGGCGGCCCTCTGTGGTGGCATTCGAGGCGTCAGAGTTCTTCGGCTGCCCCTTGGGCGCCCAACTCTCCCGCTGGCGCCAAGATGACCAGGCCAGGACGGATGTGCCGGACGCCGAATCTCCCAGCACCGGGCTGGTCGGGCTCGGTGCAGCCTGAGGCTCCGCAAAGGCCTGCACCTCAGTGGAAGCGAAAAGCGAAAGAAAAGTGCGCCTTGGCCGTTTGCACGATCGTCTTCGTTCTAAACCTTCAACAAACTGGCTTCAGGAGGATGGAATGTGCTGTTACAGTCCCAGAGGGCGAGTTTGTCGTCAGCCCAACACGCAGAGGAGTGAGCAAAAGGCAATGCATGCGAGCAATGACATGCCGCCTGCTGCTGAGCATCTTCGAACAGAGCAACTAAGGTTGTTTTCAACACGTTGGACGAGTTCCGAAACTCGCTGGCAACTGGCACGCGTGCAGTGTCCTAGCAAGCAGTGCAGAAGTGCTGCAGATGTGCTCGGTGGCAACATGCCAAGGGGAGCTTCCTGATTGCCACCCTCCTGAGCATCCGGCTTTGGATGCGCCACCCGGCGATGCCAAGACCTGTTGATGGGCATCAGTGCGAAAAGCCTCCAATGACTACAAATACGATGAACCCGAAAATTTCAAATTGGCAGAGCCTCAAGGCCAGCTTCTCCCCTCAAAGCGGCCTTTGCTGTGGCATTGAATGGGAAGTGCAACACACCATGCGCAAGCTGCGAAGCTTGGCGACCGACGGGTCTTGCGCTCGCAAGTCTCGGATTGCAGGCAGCAGGGGCTGGCCGGGCCTCCGAACCAAAACCGCAGACTCGCAGACTCTCGCGGCTCTCGCGCTCCGCCGAGGCCGAGGCAGGCTTGGAGAGTCTCACGCAGCCATCGCCTCGAGCCACAGAGATGGAAAGAGAGATGGAGTCAGAGAGAGAGATGGAAAGAGGGGGCCCGCACTCTGGCTGCGTCGCCGGGGTACGCCCTGCAAGCCTGACGTTCTCAGTTCTCTAGAGGCTTCCTCTGGTCCCTCTTGCTGCCTCCGGCATGGCCCACTGGCAGTGCGACCTTCGGCAGCTTCAGTCGAAGGAGCCGTATCTGGCGCTCAAGCTGTAAGCTCGGGACGGGCGCGACTTGCCTGAAGCACAAACGCACCGGTTTCCCATCGCTCCAAGTGAGAACAACTGCCTGGCACCATCCAAATCCTCAAGTTCAAAGTCCATGGCTACAGGCAGGACCTGGCACTGACATCAACTTATACTTATGCCGCGACATGCTACGATGAAGCGAGCTTTTCCTGGCCTTGTGCCGCCTTGGCTTGGAGGGCGATGGGGCATTCAGCCACTTGCTGGCCTTGCATACCCAGACCATCTCCGACCACGGCTGTCTCGAGCTCCTAAATTTCCTCCAAAGCTGAGGAGCAAGCAGCTTCTGCAGACTTTGGCCTCTCAGCGACTGGTCGCAGATGATAGCGAACAGACACATCCAGTGGCGCTTGCCTGCTCTGGGAGATCTTGTTGCGGGCCTTGACGGCGACTCTCGGCACCTGCACCTCTTCCAAGCCCCAAATACGAAGAACAGCTACAATGCTCGTTGCTACACTCACCTTGTGTTCGTTCGGACTCGCATCCGCATCCTTCCCCCTCAGCACCTGTTACGAATCACAGGATGCACAAACGTAAGGCGCTATCTACAATCTGCACGACCTGCAAAGCTATCTCCCGGAGCTCTGCGTTCTCCGTCTTCAGGGATAGCAAGGCCTTGGAGTCAAGTTGCGGATACGCTAGAATATCAAATCCCTCCCACCTCACTCGCTAAGATGCCGACATGCGCATAGGCTTCAAGCTGAACAGAGTTTCGTTCCTGAAGTTCCAGCCTCGCGAAGGACGTTGGGACATATCCGAGCAGCAAATCAAACAAGAGTCCTGCCTAATCTTTTCTTTTTGCGTTGCAGCAAGCTTTTGGCGCAAGTCCTCCTGATGAAGAGGAACATTCTGGCTTGAGCACCAACTACCCTTTCGACCACCACTCCTTCTGCTGCTTGAGGGTCAACACTGCCAGCTTTAACGTGGCAATGCTCGCATTATCTTTCTCCCAGTCCTGTCACGGATAGAGCAGCCCTACACATCTGATGCCATCTATGCACTAGCTAAGTGAAGAATCTGGAGATCTCCAGATGCCTCCAGGTGTGGTGCTCTCGCATTCGGCAAAGTCAGCCTCAGTAGCGTTCCATTACCTTACAAGTATTTGCTTGTGGCTTTGAAGATGACGGCTTAGCGTGGACGTCTGCCAAGGCCAGTACGGCAGTTCTGGCAATGTCGGTGCGCTCAATGCCAAATCTCGGCTGCCAACCGGCAAACTGCAAACTCGCTGCTTACTCGAGTCTGGAGGCAGTTGCTCAACCCCAATGTGGTGCCTTTGGCAAAAAGATGTAAGGCACGATGCGCCTCTGTAGGCTGAGCCAGATATCCCAAATATCCCAAAAAGCTGTGGCCAGCCTTCGCTGCAGTGCACCACGCCTTCAGCCACCCTCCGCCGTCAATCTGACACACATTAGCATCCGAAGTGCGCTTCGCGCCATGCCCCATACTTCGACAATCAAATTTCGCACAAAAGCCTGCGAAAGTAATATGTGGCATGCTCAGCGTCGTCCAAAAGGGAAAAATCCAGAGTTTTTTACATCTTTCTACCTTACAACCCCTGATGTACTCTTATTGCAAAATCTCCTCCACCCCTGCTGGAGGCAGGCCAGGCGCCTGAAAGCGTCTCTAGGTACACTAAGCCTCGCCCGTTCCCGCTTCGTCAGAGGTGCTTCGGGCTGCAAGATCGGCTCCAAAGGAGAGCCTTTTCTCTTTCTTCTTGGTCCTTCTTCCAGGGCCTTCTGCCCCCTCGCGCTACGCTCATTGGTCTTCTTTGCCGTTGGGGATCCGGTCCGACTTGACACGGTAGCAGTAGGAGCAGTGTTAATTTCACGGGCTGGCACAGACTGAGCTACCCTCACGGCCCTTACACACTAAGCGTGCGGCCCATGTCTCCCATGGCCTTCAAACCACAAGCAAGAATTGGGTACGCGATGCAGCTGTATAGCTCGGTGCCTGCATGCCTCCCCAAGCTGGGCCGGCTGGCCTTAGCAACATGGGTAACGACTATGCAGAGCCTCTCAGACATGCCACTGAGGCCAGGCACTCCGTCTGGACATATGCCTAAGCTTCCGCTTCGCTTGCAAATTGACAGGAGCACAACACGTGTCCCATCCCCGGCCTGCGTCTGTTCGCTGACTTGTTGCCCGCGTCTTTTGGCCTCATCCTTTGCGTGCTTGCCCAGGTAGACCTGGCTTTTTGCGTAGGATGTAGTCAATGACGCTGTAAGCGAGCTCGACAGGAACTTCTTCTCGTGCTGCAGTTTGAATACGGTTTCCTGTAGCTCTGCGTTGCGAGCCTCAAGCTCCGCAACTTTTGCGGACAGAGCCTCTGTCTCTTGATCCGGCACTGACTGACAGGATTCAGGTGTCGCTTCCATGAGCTCTGGCTCAGGCTGCAGAGGTTCTGGGCGCTCTTCCACTTCAGGCTCGCTTGGCTCGGTTGGTGCCTGGGAAAGCTCGGCTTCTGGCTCCTCAGAGGTTGCACCCTCGCCTGCCACCTGGGCATCCTTGGCATCTTCGGGCCGCTCGGCCGGCTCGGCCAAGACCGGCTCTTCCTCGGCCTTGCCATCGAGCAATGCAAGGAGGACGGGTGCGTCCTCCTCCAGGCTCTGCTCGGGACTCTCCTCCGGGCTCCCCTCGGGGATCCCCTCCGGGCCCAGGCTCCCTTCCCCTTCCTCCCTTGGCAGATTCACCTCCAGGACGTCACCCGGCCTGCAGCCCTCGGGCACTGTCAGCTCCATCTCCGAATGGCCGGTGCGTACGGTCAACACATCCCCCGGCCGACATTGGGATGGGACGGTCAGCTCCACCTTGTCACAATCCCCTCGCTGCCCTGGCTCTTCGGTCTGTTCGGGGCCCTGCAAGCCACCAACTTCTGGCCGAAACAGAACGACCGCAGGTTCGGCATCCGTGAAGCTCACGTGCCGATGCTCCTTCTCACCTTGAAGCCCGTCCTCCTCAGACTCGGGTTTGTCTGACGGCTCGGGGGCCTCGGGTGGGTCTGGGGACTTCTTGAAATCATCTGCAGGCACCTCTAGCTCAAGCATGTCATTCGCCTTTTTGCCTTTCGGTACGGTGACCTCGAACGGAATGTCGTCCAGCAAAACCTCAAACACATCACCTTCCTCGCAACCTTCGGGTATCGTCACCTCTGCTCGTATCCAGGATGTCGTTTCCTGTGCACCCGCCCACGCGAGCCCTTCATCGTCGGAGACATCGTCGAAACCATCTACCTCCTCCGCCATTCCTCGGCTGCCTCGGCCCTTATTGGAGGCCTGCCCGCGGATGCAGCTCTAACTCTAGCATCACAAGTAGCTGTGCTGATACAGAAGCGCACGCCTCTTTGGGCGTCTCCTCCCGCCTCAGGAACAAGGCAAATCCTCACGGTCCGAAGGTCCGACCGCAGGCGCTGCATGCATCTGCGCTTTTTGCATTCAAACGCAGACGGGGTCAGCCAGTCCTTCACAGCTTGTTGCCGAGTGCAGCATTGCAGCACACAAAAGTATTTACGGATACCGATGGCTCAAAGATCCGGCTCACCATTTTTGAAGTGCGGCACCACATTGTCGTACAAGATGCCGCAGGTTCCGCAGACCTTCACCTGCTTGGGTCCGCCTTCACATCCGGTCCCTTCTTCGGGCTGGTGATCAATACCACAGTAGCTCTCCTCGTCCTCCCGTCTCAAGAGCCGGATCTTGCCATCCTCGCCCCAGTTTGGCCCCCAGGAATTCTGAATGGTCCAGTACATCTTGCCATTGCTCTTCTCGACGCCGTAGCCCACAAGTGTAACCGCGTGGTTGATGACCGCATCTTTTTCACAGGAGTCGAAGATGCCGTACATGTACGCGCTCCAAGTCGTTGCATCCACCGAGACGGCCACCGGGCCGCGCTCGCTTATTGCGCGCAGCAGCTCGGAGTAGCCGTTCTCCTTCAGCCGTTCCCAACCGGTCATGAACTTCAAACCCGGAGCATCGGAGCTCGCGGCATGGAAGCCGACTGCAGCCACATCCAAATCTGTGTCACCCGAGGAGTCGCCCTGCAAGAGGGAAGCAGAACCCTGGCATTTCCCGTCGACTGCTTCGTAAGGGACATCTGCAGCTGTCTGCACCGGATGGTCCATGGCATACTGGAAGGCCAACTCAACGGTCGCTCCGCTGCAGGCACCTGAGCCACCGCACTTCTTGGGGTTGGCGACGCAGGAAACGAGCTCCTGGGCTGAGAAACTCCTCTGCTTGGACTTGTAGATCTCTGCGTGGCTGTCCAAGACCGTACTTGCCGTCACAGCCCAGCAGGAGCCACAGCCTCCCTGATCGCGAACGCTTTCGAGTGAAGACAGAGAGGTCCAATTCAGGAACTCCTGAGGTGTGTCTGCAGATCCAAGCTGTGCTAGAGACGCCATCCGAAGGTTGCCACGGGCCTTGCGACCACCTCGGGCACTTCCAAACCAGCCCCGGAGAGACTGGAGCTCTTCTTCACTGCGATCGGCCAAAGGTCCCGTTCCGGCGGTCCACAAACGCCCTGGGCGACTGTTGAAACGCTCAGCAAGGAGAGCTGCATTGCGGTACAGCGTAAATCGCTTTTCGTACTCTTCGGTGCCTTCCTGGTATGTTCGACCGTACTGCTGACGAAAGCCATCAAACTTCTCTCGGAGAGGATGATGCGATCTGACTTCAGCACCGAGCGTGTTGGAGATCAGCGGCAAAAGGCACACAAGTCTGGACGCCATTGCTGCAACTAGATCACTACCTGCTTTCGATCTCGGAAATGGAAGTGTCCGGAAAGGACACGAAATTTGTTGTCGTCTAGGCTCACAAGGTTTGAGCCACTGCAGGCACCAGAAACTGCAACACCCCTGCACAGTCGCACACCATTGCAGAGAATTCCCAGCTCGTTGGAAGAAGCTGCATGCGACGCATGGTAAGAGCCCCGGCACCAGCACCAGACTTCGAGGTGCTGAGACTGCAGTGGCTGAGACCAGCAAAAAAAGCTGAATGCACTGTCGGAATCGAACGCGCATCTGTCTTAGACCTTGCCTGCCCGGTCGATAAACGTCGAACCAGGCTGGGCCACGCAGCATGGCGGCAAACCACTCTGGTAATTGACTCAAGTTCTGTGAGACTTCTTGCTTCCAGTTCGAACACGGATACCAGGATCCTCGCAACTGAACGAATTACACAATCCTTGAATAGATGTTGAAGCAGCAAGAGGCACTACACATCACTCCCATGTACTTACAGCCAGCAGGGCGAGCGACCAGCCCGACGCAACACGCTTACTGCACACCCAAGGTAACATTCCCGGAAACACTGCATAGCAACGGTCGTGGTTTAGCAGCCGTACTGGCAGTAGTAGTCGGTGTTGACGCCTTCGATCTGATGTAGCTGTGGCGGAGTGTACGTTGTTCCTGAAGCGCGTGGTCAGCGAAGTCACACAAAACACAAAAAAAAACACAATGCCGGAGTGGTGGCGGTGGTGCTGGCGGTGAGAGCGGCGGTGGTGGTGCTAGTGACTGCTCGTGGTGCCGGTGGAGCCGGGCGGCGGCAGCACCAACGGCAGTGGTGGTGATCCTAATTTGTTGTGATCCTTGCTTTCCTCGTCGTAATCGTCTTCGACAGCAGAAGTAGAATTCCTAGGAATGATGACTTATAAGAGTCATGGCAATCAACATGATCATAGGTACACCCGGCAAAAATCAATCGGCAACTGCAACCAGTGCAGCAATGGCAAGGGGCAAGAGTAACATCAACAGCACTTGTACTTGGATGCGAGAGCATTGGCAACGGTGGCACGCGTACCCCTACATGCATCAGTAAACCTGACAGGACTGGCGACATTGGCTCCTGGAAACCAGAACACAATGACCGCAAGACTGTAACCAGAAGCAGAATCAAATCAAGGCACAGCAGGTCATTACAAAGCTGGCTCAAGTGGAGGGCGCACACTCCTGTGGGGCTCGGGGCGAAGCGAACGCGGATCTTGGATTGTGACGTTGCGGCCTTCGAGGCCAGCTTTGAGAAGACTCAGACCAAAGATGCTGACCGCCTCCGTTGAAGCAGCGCGCAGCTGTACCGTGCTACCTGGCATTTCCGAGCTGAGTCGGAATCTGTGGACAGTCACAGCGAGGCCGCGCCTTGTAGAGAGCTCCTCGGACATCTTAATCCCAGATGCTTGGATGTGGGCCTGGCCAGAGGCTTCGCACAACGCCCGAAGACGACGACGGAACACCTGGCCTGGTTCTAGCCAGGGCAGATACGGCCAGCACCGTTGCGGCGGCCTTGCCCATACTCTCCCCGTGCCTCAAGACAGCATTGCTAGGAAAAGTCAAAGGCCTGTCAGTGACGATACTTTGCCTATGTTTCGGAGTTCGGCCAGGCGGGACCTCAGAAGAGTCCAGCTTCAGTTGCACAACATGCGGTGGACTCGTGGATTGCGCAGAGTTCGGGGAGTGGCCGAAGCTTCTCCCACGAGCGATGCCGACAGCCGCGCACTGACCAGGCGACATGATTCACAACTAAGCAGCTGCAGATGTGCTGGAGATTTCACGTGTGTCCAGTAAATCATCTTTGGTCTTCAGCGTGCGATGAATCTCCGGGCCACACCATTCTTTCTTCATCTACAAGGCAGTGCCCTCCAGTCGCTCTGCTGACTCGGCGGTAGCCCCGCTGCGTTCCATTCTCGCTCAACACAGGTGACGAAGTAAGTGGGTACATGTGTGTGTGTGTGTGTATGTATGTATGTATATATACATATACATGTAAATGTATGTGTATATATATATATATATATGCGTGTGTGTGTATATTATATATATAGATATATGCATGCATGCATGCATGCATGGATGGATGGATGGATGGATGGATGGATGGATGGATGGATGGATGGATGGATGCATGTATGCATGTATGCATGTATGCATGTATGTATGTATGTATGTATGTATGTATGTATGTATGTGTGGGCATTTGAGTACAACAATCCATCTGACTGGACCGCCAACTCTGCTGCATGTAGCTTCAGTAGTTTAATACGGCCAGACGCAGGGAAAGCTCGCAGTCTCCAGTGATGTGCAAGGGATCTGGAGCAAATTGACCTCTTAGAGTAAACGCAACGAAACAGGTTGAACAATGTCCACGTGTCCGAGCCGCTTGACGTTTGGAGCCAAAACCACGGACCCTGCACAACGCTGGTTGGACGGTTGAAGATGGACAACTGGACATCAACTGGAACCCGATAATTAAACGAGAGAGCTAGAGGCAGATGCAGGCTCGGATACTCTCACATGACCGGCAACACACAACTCTGTCAAACATAATGCAATTTTTTAAACTTGCGTCAAGGCAGACACGGCGACACGGGGGATTAGAGATTGACATGAAGGACAGCGACTGAAACATTCATCGCTAGATCCGCTAGATCCTCTCTCTCTCTCTGCAGAGTTGAGTGTGGCCGCCCCGGGAGCCTTATTATTGCATCCAGATCAGGAATGAGCCGCTCCATCGGTGTGCTGCAGTCCATCGGTGTGCTGCAGTCGCGGATCTTATCAAGTTTGGAAGTTTGGGGCGGATGATCGAGCTGAGATCGACGAGGCAGATTCGGAAACATGGGACCTGTATATAGCACCCCAAGGGAGAGTGGTATCATCAATACAAAAGAGCTCTACTGCTGTGGAATCCTGTCCAGGATTCTTCACATCGAAAACAGCATACGAGAACAAGTCTGTTTTGTAAGGGCCCAGTCCGAAACAGGCCCTCGTGCAGACATCACGACGTTCTTCGATCTTTCGATTCTGGTACGGCTGGCACCGGCTACACCGGCTGGGCTGGTCCGGCTTCACCTCGCATCAAACCTCGAATTGAACCCTCCCCACACAATGCGGACCTCTGTTTACCTCCATGCAAAGTCCCTGCTCCCAAGCCATGCATCATTTGTTGGCACTGTCTGTGGATCCCTGAAGCATGGACCCTCTCCAACGATACAATCACTCAGACACGCGTCTCATCTCTTCACCATTGCTACCGACTCTGCAGTAGCCTCGCAGTGGGTGCACTGGCCGGCGAGCTGCCCAGAAAGGCGAGCATGGCCTTCAGGGAGAGATCCCAAGTGCCGATCAGCAGACCCTCCTTCTAGCAGACTCATCCTGCCTGGCCGACCTTCCAAACAATATCCTCTTTGGCTCTTCTGTGAAATCAGCGGCTGCGATCGTTCATCAGCCAGTTGCCAAAGAAATCCGCATTCCGACCAAGAAATACTCGATTCCCTGCGAATACTGCTCAGAGCTCCGGAATTCGAGGCATACATGAGTACAGTGTCTTTTATATGAGCTACATACCTGAATGTGCCACGCGCCAGGGACAAAATCTGCTGCATCTGAACCTCCTGCCTGCCTCGTCTTCGCACTTCTCCCCTTGTTGGGCCGGTCTAGATTATCAAAGGCTTAGGGATTCTGTTGCTTCATGCCCGCGCTGCATGAGTGATTCTTTGTCTGTTCTGCATTGCTGCAGCTACACAAGCCTTCAGAGCTCTTACCACAACAGCTAATAACTTCTGTTGCCTTCTCGTGGTTTACGGGTCACCTAATTTTTTCGATGCAAAACCTCCCCCAAAAATCTCCCTGCGTCCTCCTCTTCGTCTTCCAAGTTTACCCTCAAGTCCTTGGGCCTCAAGGGACTGCGCCTTCTCTGCGCTCTCCAACTGTGCAACCCTTCGCACTGCAGATTGTCGCACTTTTCCTCGAATGTCTGTAACTAGCATAAGCATCAACAGCTCCAGCAACGATTCACGAATGACGAAGCTATGTGCGCAGGTAACTGGTATGCTCCGCGTTGTAAAATTTTCAGACTGAAAACCATGGGATGGGTCGGGCATGTTTGCCACGACAGTGAGCCGAGTTTCGACTCAGGGAGCAGCTTTGCGGAGGCCACAAGACTAATCGCCCTCCTATCAAACTCAAGACTTCTGAAGCCGGACAGCTTCACAGATGTGCCATGTGTGCCACGAGGCTCCGGAAAAACGCGATGTTTGCGGATGAGACTGTGATCTGCTGGCGGAGCAGATTGTAAATTAAGATCGTGCAACTTTCAGGTGAAAATTGACGGCACGGGGTGCCCCGGTAGTCGCTTCATCAGCCTGCCATCTTTGCATCCACCTGCCCAGTATCCAGACAGTATCCCACATTCGAAACCAAGAAGAAGAAGAAGAACACCGGCGGGGAAGACCCGGCATCAGCGGCCTTGACACCCACGCGGCTTAAAAGTGCCAGGGCCTGGCTCGGCCGAGACTTCGCCGGTTTTGGTCAAAGAGATCATGGGACAAGATGAAAGGAGCCAAAAAGGCCTTCTGGAGTATGTGCTGCGCATTAAGCTTCGCATCATCCTTGGAGCATAGGTACGACGACATGAGACTCTTGTAACATTCGGGCATTGCAAGGCCGGTACGTACTGAAGCTCGGGAGCGTTGTGGTCAATCCACCTGTCCTGCAGACAAAGCCGATGAGCCTACAACCCTTATAGTAATTATAGTAACCCTTATTGTAGTAATCTCTCTTCGCCCCCAGTATCAAAGGCTGCCCCGACTCCAAATACATTGTTGTGCGTGTAAACATATTCGATGTTGGGGGGGGCACTACTTTGACTGTTCCCATTGCTCAGCGCTTCGTTGAAAACCCTTCTGTTGAAAGGCGGCCGACCCACTCAGTCCCATGTTCTACAGCCTGCGGTTCCAGGGCAGTGCAGTCCTTTTTTCCTGGGCCCCTGCTGGCTGCAGCTCTTGCAGCCCCACCAGAACCCGAATCTCTGCCGCAATCGCTCTTGCGCTGGGATAGTGCCTAACCCTTGACCATTACCCTAACTGTGCGCAGTCTTGGTCCTCTTAAACTCACCTTCGGGGGCAGTCCGATCCCAAGAAACCCGGAAAAGACCATGTTCTGGCAGGGTGCCCTTTAGTCATGGGAAGGACGAGGTGAACCCTCAAAGCCCGAAACTCACCCTCGCACTCCCCCTTACATACATCGCGCATGCATCAGGTCGTGCTTTGCCCTTGAACCCTAAACCCTCAACCCTAAACCCTAGACCCCAAACCCCAAACCCTAAACCCTAACTCCGAGGACCGGGCCGGCAAAACCATGCTTCGAAGTGCCACCGGCGTCTTGCCCAGGCCATCCAGGTACCCGCCTTCCAGGAGAGCCTCCAAAGGGTCACAGACTACGTGGAATCGTAAGATGTTGCTGCGGCAGTACCGTAGTCATTTTGTTCTTAGTCATTAGTAATGTTAGTAGTAATTATCACCATCGTGAAATAAGACTCTAGTAGTGCTATACCAATGCTACAGTACTGCTGTAGTATTACTATCATGCACAAGAAGCACTGCCGATCTTTCACTTTCAGCTGCCACACCTGCTGGACTTGCGCAGAGAAGCCACCGATCGCGTTCTCCTACAAGAAGCGCAGAAAGCACGACCGAGCTGGACCACCCTGACTTCCAGTCGGGTGGTGTGGTCTTGTGGCGTCCTCGATGGTGATTAGGGCACGATGATCCTCGGCCAAACGGCCGACGAGATTCGTGTCCAGTGGCTTCATCCAACCTCCGCAAGAGGTCACTTGCGGCAAATTTCAGATCCATCCTCTCGCAGCTCTCGCATGTCCGCAAACCCGGGCTCCGAGCGAGCATCTGCGACGGTCACAGACACGCCGTACTTTTCCTCAAGCTCATCGGCAGCCTCTCCAGCGGACATGCAACACGGTGCAACTTGCAAAGCAGAGGCTGCAAGCCTTCAGGCACTCGCGCAACCGCCCGCCGATGGAAAGGATGGCCAGCTTGCCATCACGACCCTCACGACAGATGCGCCTCAGGAGCACCCAGGCAGGAAGGACTTTTTCATGCGAGAAATATGCGAAACCCTGCGACGCTCTGCTGGGACGCTCTGCTGGGACGCTCTGCTGGGACGTTGCGGGGGGTCTGCTGCGAGGCCCCCACCCTCTTCCAGGCTCCAGGAAGCGAGGCTCTGCTGGCATGACCAGGTCGCCATAGCAGCTACCACGGGGAAACCTCGCCGTGTAGTCCATTCATGCTGCATGCGCAGGTGACGACGAAACTCACATGAGAAAGCAGGAAGGACTCCGACCGCAGTGCTGTTGGCTGATCATCGATTTTCGCCAGAGTGTGGATCATGTTGACCAGCTCTGCCTACAGTGCACACAGTAGAGGAACGACATGCTGTGGAAACCTCCAGAGCATGTCGGAGCCACCTCATCAGCAGACGCGCATATCATCATGTCGGGAATGCAGCCTTGCTGGCATCATCTGCTGGAAAGAAGCCTTGAGCTCGAGTTACGAGGTGCAAAGTCAGCCCCGAGCCCATGTAGGAAAGATCGAAGCAGCCGCTGTGGGTGGCTCCATCCTCGAAACACACATGGTCATATGGCGGTTGGAAATGATGCGGGGTCTGGACTGAAGCTCAGGTGACGACTGCCCCTACGAGGCCAGCTCGATCCAGGATGAATCGAACAGGCAGTTTCTGAAGCGCCACATCCTGGCAGATCTTCGATTCCAGGCAGCTTCGA